CCTGTCTTAACTCTTCCAATGATTTAATTTGCCAGTCCTGTCCTCTTAACATAAGTAGATCTTTATAAACAATTCCTTCTAATTTTACACCTCTTATGATTCCTTGTATTGCATGTTCCGGAATAGCCCACATTGGAATTTTTAAATTTACCTTATAAAAATACTTTTTCCAAACTCTCAAAAGTGCAACCCTTAAAATGTGAGATTTGAAAACCCGATCAATTTTCTTATCAAAAAATAAATAAGCATGCCATCCATAATACAAATCCCAACCTTCAAGTATCAAAATATCTCTATTAGTTAAATTAATCCAATCACTGATCCAAGTTAAAACCACTGCTTCATAATACAATTTTAAATTAGGGGCTTTGAGTTCTCCTCTTTCCCGTGCATCTTGCAAGATTTTAAATTTTACCCTAGGTTTTTTCCCCTGCCATATAAACCTATTGATGCCTCTTTGCCACTCCTCCAAATTTGAATCCTTTTTTAAAATAGGTATCATCTGGAACAAGAAAAGAAACTTTGGGAGAACATTCATTTTTATCACTGCAATTCTTCCCAATAATGATAACTGTAATTTCTTCCACTCCATCAAATCCTTTTGAACTTTTCTCCATAACTTATCATAATTATTTTTATACAGTTTAACATTAGAAGCAGTGATATCAACACCCAAATATTTCACTTTTTTCACTATTTCAAAACCAGTTACATTACTTAAGATTTCTATATCTTTCATAAACATATTTTTAGATAATATTTTAGTCTTATTGTTATTTACTTTAAATCCAGACACCTTCCCGTAATGTGTCAATATCTGTATCAAATTTCTTGCCGAGTCAGTTGGTTCCGACAAAGTAAAAACCAAATCATCAGCAAAAGCTCTAAGCTTATAGTTATTGTTACCCAAAGTTATTCCTTTTATAAGTGAAGACTCCCGGATCTTGATTAATAAAATCTCCAAAGTCAAGATAAACAGTAACGGTGATAATGGACAGCCTTGCCTTGTACCTTTTTTAATTTTAATTGAATCTGTCAGCTAGTATTATATTCATGCTAGTAATATAAGATGTGCTATTTGTAAACTCAGGCTTCTTGCTTAGAAGCTGGTGCAATCACATAGAGCTCAGGCCAATGTGGAAAGAAGATCCTTGTAACATCGTTTAGGTTGCTTGGGAGAGGGATGGAGGGAGCAGTGGCTTGTGGTCTTCCTAATAGGAGCATCTCTCCTCTCTTGAAAAAGAGAACTGGCTAATTGTCTGCAGAAATTTCAGCTTTTTCTTCCTGTGCTCAGAATCCTGCGTATCAAGAAGGAGCTGCCAACCCTTCAGCTAAAGGAGCCACCCCCATCTGTTTTGGAGGCTGATCTCACAGAGTTTGATGTGGCCAACTCTCATCTCCCCTCTGAAGTACTCTACATGTTAAAGAATGTGCGGTGTGTATATGTAGGAGTCTCATACTAACTGAGGTTGAGGCTTGCATGGAAGTTATTGGAAACTGAAGTGCCTTCGCAGTAGCTGGCACTATGCAAAGCAATCTCTGGTTTGATGTCTTCCAGATGTGTAATAGTTCTATTCTTTGTAATCTAACATTACTTTAGGGCAGGGGTCTCCAACCTTTCCGGGCTCAAGGATTGGAGGGAAGGAGAGCAGTTTCAAAATTGGTGTGCATGCGCATGCACAGGGCCGCGCGCATGCACAAATGGCCACACACATCCCACGGTGGCTAGCGGCCCATTCGCACATGTGCAAACGGACCGCACAAACTGCCCAGGCTGGTGGCACATGCGCAAACAGGCTGCGAACATCCGCCCCGCACTAGCATTCCCATTTGCACCTGCGTGCATGTGCAAACGGCCACGAGTGCTAGCGCAAGTGGGGGGGGATACGCACCTACACATGCGCACACCAGCCAGCCGTTTTTGCAGCCTCCTGGCCAAGAGCCCACAGCCCAGTCCCGGGCCACGGACCATAGGTTGGGGACCCCTGCTTTAGAGTATCTTGAGAAAGAGTCAATTAGAAAAACAAAATTCCCAAGTTGGCCAAACTGGTATTGTTAAATTAGTCCTTTCCATAAAGTAACTATTAGCACAAAAGTTCTCCACTGTAGGATCTCAAAGCATGTGGTGAAGTTTCTGTTATTCACTCATCATTTTCTGTTATTTCTCCTATTGCCCGGAAATCCCAAGGACTGAGTGGGTTTTTTAAAGTTACTATTTTGTAGTTCTAAGTAATGCATGGCCAATTTGTGGATGGAGAGCAATGAGTGAAGAACTCTTGACATATTAAAATAAATGGTAGGTATCCTCTGATTCCATGGTTGGAGAATAATTGATCCTCCTGTCTAGGATCAGGTGTCATGGCTGCATCTCTCCTATCCAAGCTTCATGTGCTGACAGCCTAATATTAGCAATGGGGGGGGGGGGAGATTGGACTGTAAAGAAGAAGGAGGGGATGGAAGCCCAGCTGAGCCTTGTGAGAAGCTTCAGCCAGCCAAGGTAAACTATTGATATCCAGAGCTGGGAACCAAGCACCTGTTTCCTAAACCTAATTGGTCATTTATAGAGGGGCCGGGTGGGGGGAGGAAAATTAACTTTGTATTGTTTGCATGGGAAACCCTCAGATTCCACTTACACAACTTCTGTAACCATCTAAGGTTCAGTAAAGTATACTTTTGGCAAAAACAAATGGTCAGGAGTTTTTTTTTCTAGATGATTGAGTGGAACGGTTGACATCAGGTTTGCTCTAGAATAGATGAACAGAACCTACACAGGGCACCCATTGCATCTGTAAAACATTCACTCCCTTTTCCAAAGAATCCCAATGCCACCTGCTTTTAGAAGGTGGCCTTCAATAAGTCAGATAAAATATGGTGCAACTTTTAAGCCCATGTGGCTTTTGAACTCTCACTGGCAGATTTTCAAGATTTGGTTTGAAGCTAAGCTTCATTAATATTTAATTCCAAAAGAAATTAATCATATTTTCTAGAATTAGTTTCCCTGGCACAGGTGAAAGAAGAAAAGGCAAGAAAAAGGAATACAAATGTGCCCTCACTAGGAATCTCAAGTACAACTCAAACTTGAGCAGGATTGCTTTGGGGATTTGTTCCATGATTGAGCTTGCCCAGTGTTATGGACAAGACTGAAACAATTTTGTAATACTTTTATTTGGCCTTTTATCACAGTTACTGGCACTAAATAGAATTAAATAAGATACAATGGGAAGGCTACATACATGTGAGGAAGGAAGGAAAGATGCAGTAATGTTCCCTTCAAAGCTTTATGTGCTACCTTTCTATCAAATGGTCTCCAACACTGCTTCCAGTAAAATACAACACTTAAAAACACTATCCCTGTTTTAATGATGCTATGGCCAGCAGAGCTAGTGAAGTTCCATGATTACATGCACCTCTCCTATTGTGGTTATTCTTCTGAGTTTTGTGCCTAGTCTAGAGAACCTAGTCCACAGTCCCCAAGAAGCAAATTGGTTGGTAGATTTCAGAGTTTAATATGGTGGGATTATTGTTGTAATTGTGCCCTGATGTTTCTCTGTAGGGTGCTAGGCCACTTTGAGAAACCCTTATTCCTGGAATTGTGTAAACACATGACCTTTCAACAGTGCCAGCAAGGCGAATATGTCTTTCGCCCAGGTCAGCCTGATACCAGCATCTATGTGGTCCAGGATGGAAAATTGGAGCTCTTTCTATCTGAACAGGTAGGAGGAAGAGAGGAGCAAATCTTGAAAGGGCTGCAATACACAGTGCTCTGCTATGCAAGCCACAAGGCCAATCTGGTCTAGTCTTTCTTCCAGTGAGAGCTGCTGTAATAAATATTGCTTATAAGATGACTTCTCCCAATTGTTTCCATTTATTTGTATTTGTGTCAGAATCACCTTAAAGCTAACCAAAGGGTGCTTCTGGAGTGAAAGGATTTGCCGGTGTCAAAAGCAATGCAGTTATTGGGGAGGCTCCTTTCATTTACTGCATTTACTCAAAAGCCTTTATTTAAAAGCTAGAGCAGGGAAAGAACCATGGCTAGCTTCTCATAGCTGTGTATGTAATTCAGGATGGGAAAGAGACTCTTGTGAAGGAGGTGTTCCCAGGAGACAGTGTGCATAGTCTTCTCAGCATCCTGGATGTCATCACTGTAAGTACTGACTATTTAGAACCACTTGTTCTACTTCTGCCTTCTTAATGTTGTTTTAAAGTTTACACAAAAATATGTGTATGTTTTCCTATATAAATATAGGAAGATTTTTTTCTACTGCATGATGTGTTTTGTTTATGTCTACTTTATGTGTACACACATAGTTAATTTGTCAGCTGCTTCACAAATTTTCAGAGAGCTTTAATTCATGTGCATATTGTTTTGCATTGTGAAAATCAGACATTAAAATGTGAACCCGATCAATGTTTTCCTTTTATAACTACAACACCTATTTATTCCCTCTGATCATGTACACTGAGCCTTTCCTACTATTAGAAGGAGGTCTCTTGACCTAATCCTCTGCTTCTACCTTCTCAGACACACAAGATAAAACTTGATTTGCTGCTGAATCCTCCAAGTATTGGTCAAATCGCTCCGTATAACTAATAAAAAATAATCAGAAGAGCCTAATAATCCTTCTTCTGACTAACAAATGTTATTTAAAAGCATAAGTTTTTGTGAACTACAACTCATCTTCTGATACAATAGTGTGCATTTTAAATTGGTTTTAAATTGGGATGAGAAAAGCGGAAAAGGAGAGGAAAATAGGTTGGTTATAAAGATATGGGTAACATGTGATTTAGATTACAACTACTTTATCAATCTGTTTTTTAAATTCTATCAAGTCACTATATGCATCTGATGAAGTGAGCCAAACCTCATGAATGTAAGATATAACTCATTTAATAAGATTTGTTAGTTGGGAAAGGGCTATTGGAATCCTTATGACTTTTTGATACATAAACTAACACGGCTCTCCTTTTATATGCTGTACATGTAACTAGCGGATCAGAAAGAACTACAGTTATAGCACTTAAATCTCTCTGGTGGGGTGGGTCCAACAGGGTCACCAACGGCCATATCGGACAGTGTCTGCACGGGTAGCTGAAGACTCCACTGTGCTGCGGTTGCCAGTGGAAGCCTTCTCAGCAGTCTTTGAGAAGTATCCTGAGAGCTTGGTCCGGGTGGTTCAGGTGAATTTTCAGCATGCTCTGCCACTGTTCTTTCTCCTTTTATGCATCTCCTTTCTGTGTTGTCCTGTTGGGTTTGGTCTGTGTCAGCAGAAGCAGGAAATACTACAACATTACATTACTTTTTGACATAATCACCATTCAAATTGAGACACTTGTCATAATATCTTACAAGGTTTGAAATTCCTTAGTAGTAATCGCTCGGCACCAAATCTGGGCTATGGGGGGGTGATCAAAAACATCTCAACGGAACTGCTTCAAAAGTTCTTGGGTGCATCTAGCGGTGTACGGACAAGCATTATTGTGAACCAATACCACACTGGAAGTCAGCATGCCCCAATGCTTGTTATGGATGGCTCTTCTGAGTTTTTGTAACGTTTCAGAGTAGACTTCTGAATTGATGGTCGAACCACGCTCCATGAATTTCACTAGCCGTACTCCTTTGGCATCTTAACATTTGGTGGGATTTTCTATAGCACCACTTCCAGTGTGGTGTTGGTTCACGATAATGCTCGCCCGCACACCACTAGACGTACCCAAGAACTTTCGAAGCAGTTCCGTTGGGATGTTTTTGATCACTCCTCCTATAGCCCAGATTTGGTGCCGAGCGACTACTACTAAGGAATTTCAAACCTTGTAAGACGTTCTGACAAGTGCCTCAATTTGAATGGTGATTATGTCAAAAAGTAATGTAATGTTTTAGTTTTCTAATGTGTATAATAAAGGTTCTGTATCTGTGAGTGTCTGTCATTGATAACCAAACGGAGGTTTATTTCCGAATTGCCCTCGTAGTTAAGCACACAATCAAGCAAATTTGCATCATTGCAAACATAATTTTTCGTGTCTTCTCTACAATGTTTTTCCTTGATTTACACTTCTGAAACAAACACCTACAAACTAATGTTGCCATACATATCCCTAAATACAGCTTTGTGGCACAGTTAAACTTAGAATAATGCATTAAAAGGTGACTATTGCATTTCCAACAGAATATTGTAGAGTTGGACAAGTTGCAGAGAAGGACAGCTGGTGGGCTGAACCAAGAATCCTGTCTTTGGGGGCAGTGAAGAGGGTCTCTCACATGGAGAGTTAAATCAGCTACTTTTGGGTGGTTATGGAGAAGTTGCCAAGGTGAGCCCATGGGCAAGCAGGAGGCAATTCTATGGAAAGCAAAAGACAAACAAGAGCATTTCTTTTACCCTACCCTACATATTGCAGTTAACTTTTACACTAACTGCCACAATATAGGCAGTGTTAAAAGAGGGATCAGTCTAGAATCCCTTTGTAACCACCAGCAAGCTAAGTCCAACCTCTCTTGAATTTTGTTGACCCTTATCTAACTCTAAGCAGGTGCTAACTGTTAGTTGAAAAGATTCCTGTGCACAGGCATGAGCAGCAATACATCAGTTTAATTGGACCTTCATGTTTTGCACCTGACATACACAGACACATGTTGGGTAACTGTCTGTTAACCTGCCACTTTGCTGTTTCCAATTGCAGATCATAATGGTTCGTCTTCAGAGAGTCACCTTCTTGGCCTTGCACAACTATCTGGGCCTGACAAATGAGCTTTTCAGCCATGTAAGTCATGACCTATCCTACGCAGATTTACATTCAGAAGACTGTTTCCAAACTAAACCTTGCCCTCTTCACGTGAGAATTGACAGTACTTTCAGCATGTGCAGAATTCACTCCCCTCACTGTTGATTAAGCATAGAGGGTGGGTTTTCCAGCACAAGTAATTTGGGCAAGAGAACTGCTCTGAGCTTCCCGCCTTCTTGTGTAATGGATGTGGATGTGTTTCCCATCCCCAGGAAATGCAGCCATTGCGGCTTTTTCCCCAGTCGAGTCACCCCTCCCGCACAAGTCCTGTCTGGCACAGCAAACGCATAATTAATGCTTCCTCTATTGAGGACACAAAGGATAGTACTGGAAGGCAACCAGATGCCTCTAAAGATCAAGGTAAGTTGCCTACCCTACGAGCAAAACCTGGCATTTGCTAGCAAGGTATGAGTTGAGTTTGGCCTTTGAGCCTCCAGTGCAATCCATTCCATTCTGTCTCTTGTCTTGACTTGCTTACGAAGTGCGGCTTCAATTTCTTCTGTCAGTGATGTTCTCTAATAATAATATTGCAGAAGCAGTGGTCCAGATGCTGCTACTAGAAACTAAGTTCAGATCAACCCAGAGTACAAAACCTCATCTGGCCCCAGCCACCAACTGAGTATTTTCACTGTTCTTTTTCCCTGCATATTCAGGGTCCTAACAATAGAATGTAATTTAATCATTTCTGGCAGAGGTTTTCTCAGGAACAGTTTTGTATTCCTTGTGCAAGTATTGCTTATGGGGATGGGATGGGAAAGTCAGATGTTCGCATTTATACTGTGTGAATGACTGCCTTGTATACTTCTAGGTGATCCCTTGAAATCAGGTTTATTAGAACCCACTGTTCCTCTGTTGAGCCGTTGTATCTCCATGCCAGTTGACATTTCAGGTATGTTGGCCTATTCTCCTTCTTTTTTTGATTCCTTGGGCAGTCCAGTTGATTATCTCCATGCTCTCTTTCTTACTCAGGAATACCGAAGGGTCCACGGTCAGACTTTGATATGGCCTATGAGCGAGGGCGGATCTCAGTTTCTCTTCAGGAAAATAGTACAGTTGCATTGGATGGCTTTGCTCGAGTAAGTTCTGCCAAGGGGGACAGAAACATGTCAGCTTTGATATCTGTCATTATCTCATAGGTTTTTAGATATCATTAGAAGGGATAGAAGTGAGGCTGCCTTTTGGGGAGGAGATATTTCTGCCTGAAATCTTTCCTCCATGGGCTGCTTCTACCTTTTCTCTTTTTAACAGTCAGCTTCCCAAGACTCCCGCGAACGAAAATCTGTGACGGTGGAGGAACAACCATCAGGCATCTACCATTACAACTATTGTGAGGATGATTCAACAACTGGGGATTGCCCATTTGGACCATACCAGGGCCGCCAGACTAGTGCCATTTTTGAGGCTGCCAAACAGGAGCTGGTCAAACTCATGAAAATTGAGGTAGAGTGATTACAGGAAGAGTTTTCTGATAATCAGTGGCTGGGGAAGGTTCTCCCTTGCCTCTCTCTTCATTTCTCAGCCAGAGCAGAGGCTGGTGGTGTTCAGTGCTTGGGTCATCTTTACTCCCCTCTCAACAGGAATTAGAACATAAAATAATAAAATTGGAAGAAATCTTGAAGGTCTTCTAGTCCAACCCTGTACGTGGCAGGAGATCCTATAGCATTCTGGATAAATGGTTGTCCAGTCTCTGCTTCAAAACCTCTAATGACAGAGCACCCACAACTTCGAGGGACAAGTTGTTCCATTGATTAATTGTTCTCAAATTGTTTCAAAATTTCTACTTAGTTCTAGTTTAGATCTCTTTTTAATGATCTTCTATCTGTTACTTCTTGTCCTGCCCTACTCGGCTTGGAGAATGCTGACTCCTTCGTGACAGCCCCTCAAGTACTGGAAGACTGCTGTCATACTACCCCAGTTTGTCTCTTTGTTAGATTAGACATACCTAGTTCCCTCGGTTGTTCATCTTATGATTTAGCCTCTAGTTCCCTAATCATCCTTGTTGATCTTCTCTGCACTCTTTCTAGGATCATAACATCTTCTTTGTATGAACATTTTCTATGTAGTGGAGCAAAACAAAACAGAGTTGTCCCTTACTTCAAAATCCTTTTCAGTTATCATGACCCAGAAATAAAAATCATGGCATTTCAAGACAACACTTTGATTGTGCCAGTGCTCTGCTTTGTTCATGAGTTTTATGTATAAGAGAATTATAATCCTGTCCTCCTTTTGTCTTCTCCTCACCAGTTTTGATATTTTTCTTCCATTCATTATAAGAAAACATTCCTTTTAAGTAAAAGTTCTAGGAGGCCTTTTGAAATCATCTTCAGTTTTATTGCACTTTGTACTCTACAATTTTCATAAAGTTCATCTTGCAAGAGTCTTGTCTAGTCTTAATCCCTTTTTTCATAAAAGGATAATGGAGGTCAAGAGAAAATAATTGTTCCGAGACAGAGAAATTGCTTAAGAATGCTGCTTTGTGATGGTTATTGTGTGCTGGGAGTAGGGTTATAAAGGAATGTGTGTGTTTGTGTAATTAGAGTAAATGCTGAAGATCTTTTACAGAGATATGGAATCGTTACTCTAATGCATGAACTCCTTGCTTCTACAGTGTGCAAAGTTTCTGTTTGGAAAATTTCTATAAGATAATGCCATGCAGAAGCTTCTATATTACGGGTAGTCCTCACTTAAGAACCTCAAATGTGACGATCAGCTCTGTTCCTAGGTGACATGGTTGTTAAACAAGTTAAACATGACTGATACTTGCAATTTTACTGCTGGCTTCTCCATTGACTCTAATTGTCAGAAGCAATCTGAAGCATGCAAATGGTAATTGCATGACTGTGGGACACTGCAATGGTCATAAGTGTACTAATCTCAATCTTGTGACTGTAGTGAATGTTGCAACAGTCATATGTGTGAGGAATGTTTGTACAGTTACCGGTACTTTTTCAGCATCTCCATAACTTTGAATGGAGAATGGAATGGAATGGACCTTGGAGGTCTTCTGGTCCAGCCCCCTGCTCAAGGAGGAGATCCTATACCATTTCTGACAAGTGGCTGTCCAGTCTCTTCTTAAAAACCTCCAGTGATGGAGCACCCACGATTTCTAAAGGCAAGCTGTTCCACTGGTTAATTTTCCTCACTTTTAGGAAGTTTCTCCTTAATTTCAGGTTGCTGCTCTCCTTGATTAGTTTCCATTTATTGTTTCTTGTCTTGCCTTCTGGTGCTTTGGAAAATAAATTGACCCCCTCCTCCTTGTGGCAGCCCCTCAATACTGGAATACTGCTATCATGTCCCCCCTAGTCCTTTCTTTCTCTAGACTGGCCATTTCCAAATCATATGTTTTAGTCTCCAGGCCTTTAGTCATCTTAGTTGCTCTTCTTTGCACTTTTTCCAAAGTCTCAACATTTTTTTTGTAATGTGGTGACCAAAACTGGATGCAGTATTCCAGATGTGTTCTTACTAAGGCTTTAAGCCAGGGGTGTCCAAACTTTTTTCAAAGAGGGCCAGATTGGATGAAGTGAACGTGCTGGAGGGCCGAACATTTTTCCGAACATTCTTTGAACCATTACAATTAAATGCAAATGAATTATTTTATGCCTCTTTCCTCTCCCTCTTTCTCTTTCTCTCTCTCTCTTTCTCTTTCCTCTCCCCCTCTTTCTCTTTCCTCTCTCTCTTTCTCTTTCCTCTTTCTCTCTTTCTCTTTCCTCTCTTTCTCCTTTCTTTCCTCTTTTCTTCCTTTCTCTTTCCTTTCTCTCTTTCCTCTCTTTCCTTTATTTCTCTTTCCTCTTTCTCTTCTTTTCTCTTTCTTTCCTCTCTCTCTTTTCTCAATCTTTTTTCTTTCCTCTTTTTCTCTTTCCTCTCCCCCTCGCTTTCTTTCTCTCTTTCCTTTCTCTTTCCTCTCCTTTCTCTCCCTCTTTTCCTCTTTCCTCTCTCTTTCCTCTTTTCTTTCTCTTTCCTCTTTCTCTCTTTCCTCTCTTTCTCTTCCTTCTTTC